AAATTAGATATAATAGCTTATCAGTCAATCATCTCAAGATAATGTGTGTCAAATGGTTATAGAATAGCATTTGGACAGTTGAACTGATGAAAATCCAGTGAGTTGTTGAATATGGATGCAGACCTGATCATGAGTGACTTCATTTATATCTAGGATCTACCTATAGGAGGTAGATTATACTTGGAAACCTAAGATGCTCATTTAGTGTCAGATGCAATAATCAACAACAGGGGACGATTAAAATAGACTTCTAGAGCTTATCCCAAATTATTTGTACGATACATATTGTCATTTTGTCATCTTGGGTATATGATTTTCCATTCATTCCTGGGTTCTTATGTTGTCAAACGTTGTTAATATGTCTTCTTGACAGATCCATATTTGTGTGCGGTATGAAAGATCTTTTCCTGTTTTTCAGTTTTTCGTATGAAGCTGATTGAATAATGAATTGTAGGTGGAGTTGCATCCATTCTGGAGACAGGATGAACTAGTGAAATTCTGTCAACAGAAAAGAATCCATGTATCTGCTCAAACTCCACTGGGAGTACCCATATCTCGTGGGATGGCAACTGCCAGTCCTGGTCTTTCTGATAGTGGATCTGAGGATGAAGCTGGAACTCCTAGGATAACATTTAGAAGGTCAAGATCAGTGCATGGACCAATGATGAAGCTTTCTGTTGTCGTAGATATTGCAGAACGCCATAACAAGACACCGGAGCAGGTAAGGACTTGCATCTTTCCCAAGTTTGAAACATTTTTCACTCCTCTCAGTTTCTTCTGAGGTATGCACCTCAGAGAAGCTTTTGCCTTATTGGTCTTTTTACCTCTTCTAAGAACAGGGTTTTGTAAAATGTATAAACTTTACTTCAATAATCAATCATATAGTTCTGGTTATATCTGTTGGCAGTTCTAAAACTTGGGAGTACATGTTGGACAATCATTGTCATTATGAAAATGGTTATGAATAAAATTCTTGATGCTAAGGTAACTAGCAATTCAATTGTTCTAAAATTTGGTTTCTGTTGATGTTCAATTGTGTTTGGTTGGAGTGGCATTGGCAGAGGAATTGCATTATTATGGTCATCATTTGACACTTCTATGAATCTTCTAGAATTGGTACTTTTATTTTGGAAGCATAAGCAATAGACGGGCACATACCATGAATACTCAAGGAAGAATCATATAGATAGTAATGATGTATTAAATAAAAAATAATTTTCTTACTAAGTATGCAACTCTAGCCCCAAAAACGTTGGCTTGGTTCATCTCCATAATGAATATGTAAATAGAACTTTGCTGCAAAAGATTGGATCATCTAAGCTAAAGTTAATCCTGTAGTAAGTGATGTGAACACTTATCCATTGAGTAATTATTGGAAATAATAGAAGCTGAATATGCTTTCAACTGACACGTAAGAAAGGAACTAGTGTTGCAGTAGTAGTGAACTTTTGGAGTATAGACAATCGAGATAAATAGACTAATATGGTCCATTTGATATCCAATGGTCCACAGTGACGAGAAACTTTTAAGAAGGTATGTTTAATATCTAATATCCTATGGCAATTTTAGACACAGAGGTGGGATTAAGGCAGAATGCAGAACTCCAACAACATAGACCATCTGGAATACATACCGGAGGTTGAATAACCTGAGCCAAGGAAATGTTAATTGGTCACGAAAGCGTTTCCACACAAGAAAGAAGCGGCTCTTACCCTATTGTTGCTGGAAACTCTCTGGTCAATCAAGTCTGCTTCTCAGTATCGGAACAGATGGTTTTAAAATCATTCTCTCTTTCTAGAAACAATACTTTTGGTTTAGCCGTAGTGCTTCATTTATGCACTACATGTTCTTTCTTCGTTTTTGCTGAGAAAATGGATTTTTATTAGTATTTTTGGATGAGTGCTAGTAGGGTGTGAAATTCAATTCTTGAGGTTCAGATTATGTGTGGTTTTAGTGGAGGCTGACTACAAAATATCGTAAACCAGGGCAGGATGTGTTCATTTCTTTCCTTGCTGTGCAAAATCTATGAATGATAGATTTCACTGTAATTTGATGTCAAACTGCAGTATGATGGCAATTTATTATTCCTTTGTATTACATGAATTAACTAGTGATATGGATTTCTTGGCAATTTGTGATGTCAAGGATGTTTTTAAAAACATTGAAAGAGTGGTTCGTGGAGTTCTTAATGTAGACAGATTTTATTGCCTCATGATGGTCATCTTAGGTTGTTGATGTTGAGTGACAACTTTTAGGATATATATAGATACATACAAGGATGAACAATATATTTTACGGAGTTGAATATAACACTATAATAGTATGGTTCATCTATTTAAATTAGATATTGGTGACTGGATCATGACCAGGAACTGGAATGACAAATGGAACAGGTTTGGATCAGAATTAGAATGACCAAATCATTGTGTATCGTTCGTAAAGACAGGAACCAGATTCAGGATTGGAATTTAATCTTAGCGTTTGGTTTGTTGCGAAGCAGGAGCATAATCAATGATGATATCCATTTTTTTGCTTGTGAAAGAGGGAGGAGAGGGGAGAAGTAAAAGAAGAGAAGAGAGATGAACTGATAGGGGAAGAGGGAGAAAAGAGGAAGAAAAGATAGAAGACCTTTTAGGGTTTTAACTTCGAACAAATTTTAAAAAAAGAATCAGGCTTACCGCCCTGTTCACAGGGCTTGTCAGGCAATAAGTCCATACCACAAATGTACTGTCCGAAATTGGATGGTCCATGTGACAGTATTGATGAATACTGGTTGGTAAATGCTGGTCCAACTGAAATTGTATTCAATATAAAAAGCATGAAGTCAAGGAGGTTGATGAAAGGATTGGACACATTTTCTTGACCTACAACCAATTTTTGGACTTCTGAGGAGAGATCCCTACTGAAGTGCAGTTAAGGTGATCGAGTTTCCAACATGCCAAATCCTCTGTCCTCAAGGGTTGGAAGATGATGGGAGTTGGCGGATGCAGGAGGAGGAGGAGGAGGTGGGAGGGCAGAGGGATGCTTTTCTTTAGTTTGGTTCTGTTAAGTGTTGCATATCACACTTTATGTCTGTATGATGAGTCAAATAAAATAGATGTTTCTTTTAACTTAAAGAAGGTAAAGTAAGCATAGCAAAAGGGGTTTTGGTGGTCTTTTTTTTTTTGTTTTACACTGGTTACTATCAGCTTCTTTATTAGCCCTTCAGGTAGATTTGAGTCTCATTTCAGGTCTGTCCCTTGTAAGCTTGCAGTGTGAGATCTGTAGATTTAGTTCAAGAATTTTGCTTTCTCACACTTGTCCATGAATGAGATATAATATACTTGACACTTTGATATGATCGCCACCAAATGGGATCATGCTTGATGTTTTGTGGTGTCATCCTACTTCATTTATTTGGCCTTTGCATGAAGGCTCGACATTTTTGTTGATGGCTTTTCTACTGACTCTTTAATAGGTCATTTTGCGATGGGGACTACAGCGAGGAACTAGTTTATTGCCGTGCAGCCTAAATCCTGACAGGATCAGGAAAAACATAGACATTTTCAGTTGGTCGCTGACAGATGAAGAATGGAATAGAATGAACAGGATTGAACCTCAGATATGCCTCTTTGGGAGTGGACCTGTCAACACATCTGAAACAGGGTTTTTTTCAGCTGCTGGTCCTCTTCAGGCTGTGTATGAGATGGAAGATGACACTGAATAATCCCAAGACTCTCAAGTCTCAGAAGTGTACTGTTGTAAACTCTCATCTGAGAAGGGGATATTTCACGAAATTTTCTGCACATATGTTATGTCTGTCTGCGAATCTCTTCAGAGACCAATATCATCTTGTAATTCTTGTTAATTAGATTTTAGTAGTTATGTCATATTACTCTGGATCAAGGTTTTGCTACAATGGAAGTTATTATATGTTTTCCCCCTCCTACAGCTATGTTCATGTAGTGCATTTAAGTTCTTCAAGAAAGAATGGCAACTAGTTTTCGATTGGTGCATGTTGGAGTTCTGATTTCAGCAGTTGCTGAGACCTCTCTTATCTGTTCTGTACTAAACCTTGGCCTTGTTTAGTGGTGGCTGACAAGTTGCAGCTACGTGTTCATAGTGCTGCTCTCCTTGTGGAGTGAGGATTCATCAGAGCATATATGTGGCTTTTGTCTTGTGTACTAAACCTGCAATGGCTTGTATCAAAATGCAACCTGGAGACTCTGCAATATGGAAACTGAATCCTTGAGGTTATCTTGGAGTACAGGTAGAATCATGAAAGCAAAACTAGTATAAATTGTTTGGTGGACACCAGAAACAGCAAGATCAAATGGAAACTTTATAATCCGAAAAGCTGTTTTGCATGGCCACACCATCACATCAAAAACTGAAGTGTGCTACCTGATCTCGATCGAGTCTTCTATCTAATGCAGGCTATTTGGTTGAAAATAGTGCCTTGATTCATTTCAATTCTGCACCTATGTCACTTAGATCTCGATAACAATTATCAATAATATTTCTCATCATATCACAATAAATTACAATATCAGAAGACTTTCTGTGATCAATAATACTTTGCAGATGCTTTCTGGAGCTGTCTTGTTTGAATAAACGCCAAACAAATTCCTACCCTTTGTTTGATACCTCAATCACAGTTTTATCCAGAGACTTCAATACTCAAGATTATGACCTAACATGAGGCACCAGTCTCCGTCCAATCTCTCGTACCTCTTGAATTAAGCCTCGCACACAAGTCTTAAATGCATTCGATCACAGCATCGTCGCTGTTTGGAAGAATGTGCTTTCCAAGTTATATTTCTCATGTTGACTTCTGTCTGGACATTATTAGATTCTAATTAGGTAGCGGCAGAAGTAATGTCAATGTGTTTGTTTGCTCTTCTTTGATGACTACGACTTTCTAAGCGAAGCAAACATAGCTATCTTTTCTTTTCTTTTTCTTCGTTTGTTTTGTAGACAATTAAGAAGTTTTCTTGTGAATCATATCATCCTTCTTTGATAGAATATTTGTCTCGGTAATTGTTTCATGGAATTTTGAGCTCCCGAATTGATCTTTACATTCTGGGTTTGACTTTTCTTGTGATTAATGCAAATAGGGAAACATTTTCTGGGTTTGACTTTTCCTACGGTAATCTTTCCTTGAGAAAGTGGTAACTCATCGTTGTCCACAAGCGTTAGAAGAACCATCTTATCCGCATTAGCAGTGCCGCTCTTCACAGCCATCCAAAACTTGCACAAAGTGAAATGGCATCGCCGATGTCGCTGAGACACTGCTCCACAAACCCTTCGCTCGGCGTCGTTTGCCGCCTCCATGGCCACTCCAAGCTTGGCCATGCAGCTCCAGGTCTCCCGGAACAGTTACTCATCGGAAGGAGACAAGCAACAGCAGCAGCAGCTGTAGCAGTAGCTCTCCATGCCAAGGAAGCCATCTCCGGTTCGAGCGTCGCTTCCGCCTTGGAGTTCAGATTCACCGCCCCGGAACAGACACCTGAAGAAGCAGACGCGGTGGTGAAGATCCATGCAAGAGATCTGGTGCGGATAAAGGCTTTGATCGATTCGCAGTCATGGAGAGAAGCCCAGATCGCGCTTCGCGAGAGCTCGTCGTATCTGAAGCAGGATCTCTACACGATCATCCAAGCAAAGCCGGGAAGCCAGCGGCCACAGCTGAGGAAGCTCTACTCTCACCTCTTCAACGATGTCTCAAGTGTGAGTCCATTGTCTTCATGCTCTCGGTATGGTCCAGCTTCGCAAATGAAGCTTGTAATCTTTATCGTTTGTGCTGCAGCTGGATTATGCTGCCAGAGACAAAGATGCTCGCCGAGTTCAAGAGTGCTACGATAACATCGTTGCGACACTCAATGAGATTTTTGTTCTGATCTAACAAATGCAGACCTTGATGTTTGTTCTATTGCCTCTCTCTCTCTCTCTCTCACTCTCTATAACACTGTCTTTGTCAATCTATCTCTATCTATCCAGCGAATTTCCGAGAAAGACCTGATTCACTCTATGAAATTGATGAACCGATTCAATCCTCCATATGAGGATCTATTAAAAGAACAAAAGAAATGAACGTAGAGTTATGTAATCGATGTGTCAAAGCAGAATAATACCTCTACGCATTGGAATCAGCTAAGAGAGCGGCAATCGACAGAGAAGAGGCAATAATCTGAAACAGGGGCGACCACAGTGGATCCGCTTGCAGATGGGTGGGCGCGAGAGAAACACGCGGGCGCGGGCAGAGGGACGACCACCGTGGGTACGCCGATAGAGTAACAACAATGATGGGTGGTGTTTGCCGTCGACTTGTGGACATCTAAGATGGTAGACGGCGACACCCCATAGAGGAGGAAGATGGCAGATGGTGAGGAAGAAGCGGGCGCTTATTAAGAGCCGACTTAAATGGGCGACACCCTATAATGGGCCTTTTTATGGTGCCAAATTAGATTTGCAGGTCTTCTCTTGAGCTTGGGCATGGGGCCCAACAAGCACTCTTCTGTTGCTCTTCACATCTCACATCTATGCTCTTCATTCATTTTGATTGACTTTTTTATTCAAATTTGATTTGAATTTTGACTTCCTAACTGAGAGCAGATAAGATTTTTCGAGGAAATCCCACTGATCAATTGAGAAAAATCTTCTCTTCTAACATGTATAAATAGATATTATATTCAACTAATTCAAGTATACTTTGTGCCCCTGTTGGGTTACAAATCTATTCAAAGAACTCAATATCAACTTCTTCGTTACTTTTACAAGATATTGTGATAATGTTGAAGCTATCTATTTATGCACCAATCTAATGTTCCACTCATGCATGAAACATATCACCATCGACTTCGCGAGATCAAGTTATCAAATATTAACTGCGTGTTTTCATATACATACGATTGATCAACTAGCAAACTCACTCACGAAGCCTTTCACCCATAAACTATTTTCGTTGTATCGATCCAATATCGACATCCTTGATAGGAGCTCAATTTTACGGGGGCATGATAGCAGATAAGATTTTCCCAACTGCATTAGAAAATCTCATTAATCAATTAAGAAAATTTTTCTCTTCTAACATATATAAATAAAATATTATATTCAACTAGTTTAAAAATGCTTTGTCATTATATGATGTAAAGTAATTCACTTGTAAGCAAATCATATATTTGTTGTTTGTTTCTCCAAACCATTACTTATAGGCATTTCCTTCAGCCTTTCTTCTCTAGTTATCCCCACAACAGTGAACCAAGGGTAATTTGATGTCGATGATTGCAGCACCAACTTCAAGCTCTTTCTTGTGTAAGCATATGTGTGTTGTTTTCTTCTCTCTCTCTCTCTCTCTCTCTGTTTCCCAAGGAAGATTACACATTGATGATCCCACACCTAGTGTGGGGAACAGTGCAGTCTATGCCATCAAATTGCTATTGCAATCTATCCAGTAACTGGTGCTACCAGAATGAGTCATTTCAACTTGTCACTGGATGCATGGATAAACCTCGGAATCTTAGATAGGTCCCTTTATCTCCTCCGTATAGAAAGACTGTATACCACTGAAAGTTGACAGGAGCAGTGCTGTTCACTGGTTCATCAGTCTCCCACCGTTGAGCTCTCACACTCCAATAATGGCTTCACTCATGCAAGTTTCTATTTTGCCACAGTGCTTCGTTGATAGAGAGATGATGCCTTGGATGCAGACTAGAACCGTTCAAGCAGATGTGACTGAAACTAAGGATGTGAATGGCAATGGCAGGTACGTGGCCATGCCGATGTCTATCTTCACATGCACTGTCCTCCGACCAGGGCATGCATGTTTATGTTTGTCCAAAGAAATCCACTGTTTGTGGATTGTGCTCCCCCTTGATGTGATTGAGAACTTGGATCGAGAAGAATGAATGCAGCCACTCATTCTGCTTGACAAGAATTCCAATCATTTTATCTAATAGTCACAGGAACATCACTGGGGCTGATCTCTGAAGAGCAATTGCAGAAGCAACTGCAGTTATGGAAGTGATTGCTTATATTTACTTCAACTAGTGCAGTAATACAAACTGGACTTGTGTTCCTCAAGTCTCATTGCTTAGGAATCCAAAGCTCAAGATGTAACAAGTTTGAGGATGAAGTGCCCACCCACAGGAGAGAAGAACAGTAACAACTGAGTGCATCATGAAGTCAGCAAATGGTTTTCTTTGTCCCTTCCGATAGTCAATAATGAAGCAGCCTTTTCTTAGCTCAAAAAAAGTATTTCTCTTTAAACCAATTATCAATGTCAGATTGTGATCCAATCAACTAAACTTATGTTATATATAATGGTATTATGTTATCCTTAGTTTATTCCTAATTCTTCTCATGCTAAATTTTCTTCTAATTGTTACCATAATTTAATCTTATACATTGCACACAGTGTTCACATGGATCTATTTGAATTAATATGACCAAACACTTGCAGTTCCTGAGAAGGCACACAAATAATGACTCATGACCTACTAAAAAGAATGCATTCAACCTTAGCTCAGACAGACAGACTAAATTATACTGAAAGGTTGGCTTATCAATCAAGGAGGAGAGGAGTATAAAATGATTGGCTTATAGATCGGTCCATGTCTTTGCATAAGGGAGGGCCTGGCCAAACTGGCAAACTAGGAAGACTCCAAAAGAGACCATGAAATAAAGAAAGAAGAAATCTAGACAACTAAGTCTGATACAAAGACACCAGCCAACCACAAGAGTAAAGCAATCCAACATGAGATGACACCCGTGTCTAATGAAATGTTTGCACTAGATTTTTTCCCAAAGCAGGTGGGTCATGGCTGCTTCCTGTCATCTCCCTTGGCCATGTAATCTTTCCTGATAACTGTTCCACATGAATGTTATGCTTTTTCTCTGTGTATGTATGTGCAGTGGAATTCTCCATGACAGGAGAAGACAAACAATTAAAGAAGCCTTCATGAGATTCTGCAAGTCATGCTGGGCTCATCTTGTCTGTGGTTCCCTAAGATCAATTCTGATGCAGTTTATTTTTGTAAGATTGAACCCAGTATCTTTGTTACACCGTTCTCTTTGATCCCTAAAAGTCATTCTCCTTTTAGTCCATGTTGTGTGCTATAAACTAAAGAAACTTAATGAGATGGATATATAAGTATATATATATGTACAGCATAACTCGAGCTAAAGAAGATAGATCAGTAGGAGAATAAACACTTGGGATATTCTTATCTACTTGCTATATGACTGACATGACTGGCCAAACCTATGAGATATTTAAAGAGGTTACCTTCCTCCTTTAACCCATACATGTAATCTACTTTGCAGCCAAATGATCTCATAAAGGCATAGGATTTGTACCTTTGGTGAGGCTTTTGGTAGTCCTACGAAATCTATATCTCAAAACAAGGATGTGATCGTTGACTAATTTGACACTGTGGGCACGTTCCTTGTGATAAAGTGAGAAGTCACAAAGGGGCAAAAAAGTGTCCTGGAAATAACTGATGAAATCTGCTTGATACAAACTCGTATCTCTCAAAGTCTACTGAGTCAATCTTGGAGCATGATCAGCACATGAGAAAAGTACCCTTTAACCTAAAAGTTGCTAGAATCAGTATCTATGCGATGGATTTGCTATACAACAATTTGACCCATTAGAGACTGTAACGGTGACTATATATCGTAGCTTGAAGGAAGAGGAAGAGGAAGAGGAAGAGGAAGAAGAGGAAGAGGACCACCGTTGGGACTCCTGCAAGTGCAAGTGGAGTGCGTTTTTGACGTGAGACTTTGAACGTCCGAAACTTCTTGGGTCCAACAAAAAGAAAGGTCTCCATCCTCCTCTCTCGAGTAGAACCAAAAGCAAAAAGGTCATGCCTGCTCTTTCTATTTCAGTGATGATTGTATGTGACAAAGAGGATTCCTTCTGGTCTCTCGATGCAGGCTTTGTGTGTGGTGGGGGGGAAAGAACTGATCTACGGCGATCTACACAAGTTAACCATGTTCGATTGCCATTAAGATAGATTTTGGGTCAGGCATCGGTGGGACAAGATTGACTGTGGATCCACTGAAGCTGGGTAAAGTGATGGGCAATAATTGTGTATTTGTCATCATTTAGAACAAGAAAAGCTCATGAGATTTGCAGTGTTCTGGCTCGCTAGTGTCGTCCATGCATGCATGGCTTTATCCCAGAACATTGTGTCGAGGACCCCAGGAAGGAAGTGCTCTAAGATCCTAAATCTTGTACTGACAATGACTGAATCAATGAAAATTCTTGTAGGCATAGCTTAGCCACCATAACCTCTGCTCCTTTAATAATCATTCCTCCACAGCACAAACCAGCTTTTTTCCCAGAGTTGGCTAAAAGATTGAATGCACAGTGACATCACCCCCTTCTCCTTCCGGTTCTGGACAAGCTTGAGCACAGAAATGGTGGTAACTGCAGAGAAGGGGTTGGATGACCCCGCTGCAAGCAAAAATGTGGCTGCCAGTTTGCCAGTGACACACCAAGGCTCATGTAAACCAACCAACCACACAATCTGTGGGCAAATCCTCTTGGTAAGGTGGTGGCCGACCATTCACTGGGGCTTGGCGCATTGCCGCAGTAGCACAGTACATTCCAAAAGATTTGGTCCTGGTGTTTCGATGCCACCCTCCCCCTCTCTCTCTCCCCCTCTCTCTAAGCTACCCAAGCCATCCGAATAAATGGTATCTGGTCAAGGATTACTGAAGCATCACACAGGCCTGGTCCTCCTTAAATATCGTCAGCATCAGATACTAGTGACGACACAATCATGGTTGAAGAAGCCAGCATTCTCAGACACGATGCAGGTGGATGGAAAAAGGGAGAGGATTCATTTATGAGGCCATGTATGAATCCAAGCAGCAAGATTTTCTCTGGTTAGAAGAATGTCCTTATCACTACTACTTGGTTATTTGTGCAAGCCACAGGACGAACGAGTGAGAGGAGTGGAAAGGTGACGGGGGTGGAGGAGTTGGGGATGAAGAGGCTCACATGCATCACTTTTGTGTTCCCACTAGATTCTGGGCCACGAACTGGAATTATTTTGCCCTTCCATAAATGCATTGCCCATTGGAGTGAGATCTGTGCTTTTGCCCTTTTCATTGACAGAGGAATTCTGTTCCTGTCTCCTCCTCTCTCTCTCTCTCTCTCTCTCTCTTCTTGCGGGCTTGTTCCATCCCCATCTCTTCGTTGTGCTGGTCTCTGGATATGTGGATTTGTTTGGTACTTGTGAGAACATATAAAAGGAGGGCTTGGACATGTGTGTGACTCCACCAACCTTCTTAAGGACACTCAGTGAGTGGTGCTTCTTCTTTTCTACCCTGTTCTTCTTTGGTTCATTTCTAGTGTTCCCAAACACCATCCTTCTCTGTTTTCTGCTATCGCAGTCATGGTATTCTTTCTACACACCAAAAAGCTTAGCATATTCTGATCCTTCTCGAATTTGCCTTATTTTTTTGTTGTTGTTGGGAGTCACAATTATTTTCTTGTGAAAAATCACCACACATTTATTTGTATTTGGAAGTAAAGGCTAACACAGGGGTAATCACTGCTTTTTTCTCTGTGGAAATTTCTCTATCTAAAGTTGCAAGATAACTTGTTGTTTGTTGAATTCGATATGTAAAGTGGCTTCGAGTTTTCATGTCCTATCTCCAACCCTTAAAACGCAACCAGCTACAGTGCAAGAATTGTTTCGAGCTCATTTCTCCTCCCCTCAATGGTGATCTCTCTTTTCTGCGCCAGAGTCAATGTCCTTCTTCTGCTTCTAGCTCTCTGTTCTCCATGCAAGTTCATCCAGAGTCCCATGGACTTTGGTCCCTTGAGCTTCCTCCAGAAAACAAGCACAGCTTGTGTGGACTTCGGAAGAATTCTCTTCAACTCCCCCTCGGCAGTCCTTCGACCCCAGTCCTCTGAAGACATCTCTCTCCTCCTCAGCTTCCTCTCTTCCTCATCCTTCAGCAGAGTCACAGTTGCGGCAAGAGGAGCTGGGCACTCCATCCATGGCCAAGCCCAAGCACTCGATGGCATAGTCATCGAGATGGATGCTCTCCCCTCCAATATAGAAATCCACAAGAAAGGAGAAGGGGTGGTCGGTGTCTCGTATGCTGATGTTAGTGGCGGAGCACTGTGGATCGAGCTGCTACATGAGAGCTTGAAGCATGGGCTGGCTCCAAGGTCCTGGACTGATTACCTCTATCTCAGCGTTGGTGGCACTCTCTCCATTGGTGGCATCAGTGGCCAAACATTCAAACACGGGCCTCAGATCAGCAATGTCCTTCAACTGGATGTGGTGACAGGTAACATGAAGCAGAAAAACACAGAAGACCCAAATTTCTCCTCCTCGCTCTCTTGTGATGTTAGTATCAGAGCTGACCATCGGTTCCAACTTCACTTGTTGAAGGTAAAGGAAAGCTGGTGACATGCACTCCCACCAAGAGTCCAGAGCTTTTCTTTGCAGTTCTTGGTGGGTTAGGCCAATTTGGCATCATAACGAGAGCAAGAATCCTGCTCCAAGATGCTCCAGAGAAGGTGAAAGTCCAAAATGCTCTTTGTTTTTCTCTACTTTGATATGAGATCAATTTTGATGCCGGTAAATTTGATGTTAGGTCAAGTGGGTCAGAGCCTTTTATGATGATTTCGACACCTTTACCAGTGACCAGGAGCTGCTCATCTCGATGCCTGAGTTGGTGGACTATGTCGAAGGCTTCGTAGTCCTAAATGAGCAATTCCTCCACGGCTCCTCCACTGCCTTCCCCACTCATCTAGACTTCACCCCTGAGTTCCACAGCAATGGCAGCTCCAACGTCTACTACTGCATTGAGTTTGCTGTCCATGACGACGGATCGAAGAACGCCAGCACAGAAGAGGTCAGCAGCGATTCCTCTCGTAGCTCCAAATGATCATGAACAAGCTGGGCACCAAGTTATTCTCGTTGCAGGTCGTGGAGGAGATTGCGAGGCGGATGAGTCACCTGCCATCCCACTTGTACGGTGCGGAGGTCTCCTACTACGACTTCCTCAACAGGGTTAGGATGGAGGAGATGAGCCTGAGGAGTGTTGGCCTGTGGGAAGTCCCCCACCCTTGGCTCAACATGTTCGTGCCCAAGTCTGGGATCAAAGCTTTCAGGGACTTGCTGTTGGAGACCATCTCACCAGATGAGTTCGCGGGCCCTATCCTCCTTTACCCACTTCTAAGAGACAAGTAAGGATCAGCTTTTGACCTCCTCCATCGTTCTGTCTCTTCCTTCCATCAAGCCTGCCTTCACGAAGTGCAATCACTTTGGCAACCTCATCATACTTCCAATCACTTCACAAGATATCAGTATCTGTGCAACAGTTACTGGATCGAAACCATGTACTAAGGACTCCTCTAGGGTATTATGAGTTCATGTCCTTCACGTTGCATATGCGTTATGTATCATGGATGGTTCAGGTGGGACACAAACACATCGGTGGTGCTGCCGGACGCCGCCGGGGGAGCGGCGGAGGACGAGCGGGTGCTGTACATCGTGGGCGTGCTCCGGTCAGCGAACCCAGCCAGCTGCACCGCCGAGTGCCTCCGCGACCTCCTCCGTCTCAACCGCGGCATCGCCGACGCCGCCTCTGCCCCCGGCATCGGCGCCAAGCAGTACATACCGCACCACCCCTCGCCGAGCCACTGGCGGGAGCACTTCGGCCGGCGCTGGGAGCGGCTGGCGGCGCGCAAGGCCCGCTTCGACCCGCTCGGCATCCTCGCCCCCGGCCACGGCATATTCCCCAGGATATCCTCCGCCTCCTCCTCCTCCTCCTCCTCCTCCTCCCTGTAGCACCATCGCATATGTTCTTCCACCCTCACACAGCAAGTTCAGTGCACGTGACAAGATTACTGGAGAGGAAAAGAAGAAGCATGGAACCTGTTCCCCATTCCTCGATCTTCCTTTTTCCTTCTTTTTGTTCTTTGATCTGATATGCAAGGATTTTGGAAGAGGATACCTTCGCACCCATTAAAATTTTGGTTGGTTTACTTTACTGCAACTTGGTTTTTCGTGTACTTTTTATTGGGAATATATTGGATGCACTCTCTGCCCTTTCTATCGTTAATATACTGCAACTTGGTTTGTGGGTTCGCTTTGTTTAAGATTTTGGTGCGTTCTTTGGGCTTTCCATCTCTGTCGGTGTCAGTGGGTGTGGGTTTCCAAGTAGATTCGGGATCATGCAGTGGGGAGTGGACAGAGAAGAAGACAAGAAACGAACATAACTAAGTCGTTGATAGACCGGACTCTGACTTACTACTACTGCGAAAGGAGGTCTCAATCAAACTGATGTTAAATGTTCGTAAATATTATTAATTTATTATTTAATTCTAATAAATTTTTTAACTCCTTCCATACAACTTTTTTTCCTTCTAAAGGAAAAAAAAATATTGTATAAAATAATAATAATTGAGGGGATATAAAAAATAAAATAATTGAGAGATTATATTTAGTAAAATTATATTTTATTATTTTTTAAAAGCAGCTATATTAAGCAAGAGGTTGCTAATAACCATTCTTAATATTTATTTTTGAGAATTTTTAAATGATACATTTATTTTTATTTTTGTTTAAGTCACGTGCCGATCAATCGACTCACGTGCCTACTCGTAATAGGCCCATGGGCCTTCTGAAGCCCGAAACCGATGACGTGAATAAGCGAGGGCTCCATTCGCGTTCGCTACCGACTCCATCGATCGAATTCTTATAGCCTGCGTCGTTCTCAGAAACCCTAGACATCGCGTGAAGGGTGGCCGAAAGACACCGGAAAATTGAGGCGCTTCGTTTCTATTTTTCTTTAGGGTTCGTTCTCTCCTCCCCCTGTTATGCTCAAAGATTATTCTCTTTGCTTATTTTTTGTGTTCTTTTACTGCTTTCCTTGCACGGAAGATGGGATCTTGTTTCCCCTTTTTGGGTTCCGTGATGGTTATCTTCTCCTTTTGGCTGTTCACCTGTAGGATATTTGCCAGTTTGAAGTATGAGGACAAGAAATGCCGGTGCCGCGAAAGCTGGGGCCACCAAGAAGACGCCTACCCCGAAGAAAGATGCTGCTGCCGCCGCCGACGCCGCCGAGAGGACCCCGGAAGTGGCAACGAAATCTACCCCGAAATCAGGAGCCAAGACCGCGAAGGTGGCCGGAAAACAGTCCGCGAGCAGAGCCGCTGCTGCTGCCTCTGCCCCGGTCACCGTGACCCCTGATCCTAAGCAGGGTTCTGAAGGTGACATCTTGGGTTGGTTCTTTGTGTTCTTTAAACGTTAACTTTCATTTATGGAAAACTGTAAGCCCTGTTGTTTGGTTGGGACAGTTGAGGAGGCGGCTACTCCTGCAGTTGAGAAGAAACCAGCTGCAGCCTATGCAAAGAAGTCTGTCGGTGGAAAGGGGAAAACACCTCTGGCTCAGAAGGCTGCTGCAGCAGATCCTCCCAAGGTGGAGGTTGTGGAAGAGCCGGCCATAAAAGTTGAAGCCAAGGAGAGTGAGGATGAGGTGGAGGAGGAGAATGAGCTGAAGCATGACGTGGAAGTCGCAGATGTGAAGGACACTGGGGGTGACAATTCTGAAAAAATTGAAGAAGATCCTGCTGATGCGGGCCAGCAGATGGAGGAAGAGGTAGAGCCGGTGGAGTTTGAGGAGCCTGTTGAAGAGGAATTTATGGGTACGGAAGAGAACATAGGAGGTGTGGAAGGGGAGGAAGCTAGTGTCGGGATGGAAGAGGAGGAAGATCCTCGGGTTGAGGAGGACGAGCAGATTCTAATATCAGACATGGCTAAGAGGAGGAAGATGAAGAAGGAGCAGGAGATATTTGTCGGGGGACTAGATCGAGATGCTATGGAGGAGGATTTGAAAATGACCTTTGAGAAGGTTGGGGAAGTTGTAGAGGTCCGTCTACACAAGGATTTTGTAACCAATAAGAACAAGGGATTTGCATTTGTAAAGTTTGCCAACAAGGAGCAGGCTGCTCGAGCACTCATTGAATTGAAAAATCCTATGGTAAGATATTTGGCTTTGATATCTTAGTTTTCTGCAACTTTTTAAATTGGATTGTCTATCACTTATTTGAAAATTTAATCTCACAATTGAAGTAGATAAAATGACCAGACTTCTGATGTTCACGTGTTACTATTGTTCAACTTTGACAGCGATCTGGTTTCATAATATGTTTGTTTATATGTGTGTGTGTCTATATATATATATATATATATATATATATATATATATATATATATATA